CAGAGCAGCAGTAAGAATTTGGGTGTTGATTTTGCCAGGCTCCACACAGGGAAGGAGCTGGGACAGAAGTGACGTGGGCTGGGTGGTGGCACCCTCAGGGCCAACCATCATTACGGCTGCTGTAAAGCCCCTTGGAACCCACCGGGGTCTCCCAGCGCTGTCTTGCCATCAGGAGGAGGGCCAAGGTCCCTGTAGGCAGAAAGGCATGGAAGAGAGAAGAGGAGCGACAAATGCAAACCTTTCCCAGTTTGCACCACTCTTCCAGTGAGGTCCTGCCCAGGAGATACTGGGATGCCAGCAACTGCTTGCAGGTCGTGGGCTGAGCTGGGTGAGAACCAGGAGCAGGGCAGAAGGATGGAAGAGATGAGGGCGGGGATAAAGCGGAGAGAAGCGGCACTGAGCTTTAACGCAGCTGAGCTGGGAGAAGCCCGGTTTCAGACTGGTAGACTTGGCAGCAGGGATTTGCCCCATGGCACTGGGGAGCACAGTCCCCTGGCTCTGCTGGGCTCCAGAGATCCTGGTCAGCATGGGGGAAGAAGCTGGAACTGAAGCCATGCAGAGTCTAGAGTCTGTTTGCAGCTTGCAGGTATGGCCTGTGACAGAGAGCATCTCGTTAAGACATGCTGGGATTGCACGTAGCATCATCAGGTGCCCTGTAGCATCACGGCTTTCCAGTGCTGTGGCAGTGTCTGAGATGTTCTCCATGACATTTTGTGGGCATTGCAGTTTTCCTAAGGAAATATTTCCAAATAAATCAGTCCTATGTGATACGCCACTACCAGCATAGCGTATTTGGGGAGCATCACACGAAGTCAGGACGCTGCGTGAAGGTAAAAAAGTAAATGTTAAGCCCACGGTGTGCGGAATACCTCCAAGACACTCCGGAGCTGCTGGGGTTTGGTTTCTGAGTCTTTTTGCTTCTGAAAGTTACACTTGTGAGACTCTCTTCTTCCCTCTAGCGTCTATTTCAAGATGTTCCTCTTGCTCTTCAAACTCAGCTAAAGCGGCGGCTTGCCTGGTTGCATGTAGTCACTCTTCCCCAGGCACAGGATTTGCATTTATAAATGATACTGCAGCTCTCCATCCGACATTTGTCTGGTTACGCTGTGCCGTGTGGGAGAATGCTGCTGCAAGGCCCTGGTCATGCTTAAAAATGATCTCAACTACTCCTTTAAGTGATCGTCCCCCTGTGCTGGGCACTGCTGAGGCTGCACCTCCAATCCTGGGGTCAGTTTTGGGCCCCTCACTGCAGGAGAGACACTGAGGGGCTGGAGGGCGTCTTGCGGTCTGGAGAAGGGAACGGAGCTGGGGAAGGGTCTGGAGCACAATTCCCGTGAGGAGGGGCTGAGGGAGCTGGGGGGGTTCAGCCTGGAGAAGAAGAGGCTCAGGGGAGACCTTATCGCTCCCTACAACTCCCTGAAAGGAGGTAATTTATTAATAGGGGTGGGGGGGAACAGTTCTCACCCCGTTCCCCTGTTTACACACTAGGTACCAAGTTGGCAGCTGGCACCAAATCCCATTAAGGCAGTAAGATAATTAAAGGCATCAGCACGTCCTGGCCCATTACAAGAATGAAGGGACGGACCCTGGTGATGTACATCCGAAAGTGGTCACATCCAACCAGAAGCAAAGATCCTACTGAGCTAAATATTAAAAGAGTCTGCAAGGGCAGGCATGGGAACAAGCTCTGTCGTTAAATGATTTTGAGTTGGTCAAGGGACCAACTCAGGATTTTAACAGAGGAAACAGTGAGAAGAAAACTCACGATGAAACTCCCCATATATTTCCCTTTTGGGCCAAGAGAACTGAATTCACGAGTAGCCCATCATGTCTGACGTTTCCCAATTAGCCTATTAAAGCCCTGGTTGGCTTTTACATTTTCTAGATTAAAAAGATGAAAGGTGGATGAGCAGAGGTTAAAACTAGAGCACTAATGTTCTCTGTGGATCTGCTATAACTATGCAGAATGTAATCTGCAACAGCCCTGTTTATTTTGCTTCTCCTGGGGACTGCAACAGACAACAGCAACTCTGGGAAACCTTGAGGTGCATCTGCAATGGGCAGAGAGGAGACTACAAGCCCTTCTTCCCTGTTATGTCAGGCTGTGATTACAATCTTGCTCTCTTAACAAGCCTCCCTGCTGCTCCATGCACGGCAGCCTGGCGCTGGGTCTCCCCATGCACTGAGCTTCGGAGCACATTTCCCTCTGCAGGTCACATCACCCAGCCAGGATGCAACAAAGGTGACATGCAAAACACGCACGCCTCCGACAGCTGTCCACCGATGCTTGCCCCTGCTCCCTGCTAAGCTTTCGTGTGCTGGGAACTAAGCCTGCCGCCACTCCCTGTGCCAAAACCGTATTAACCAAGATATTGCATGATGGAGGGAAGTCAGAATCCAGGTGGTGCCACAGCTCTGCTCCCAAGTCGCTTCGCCTTCCTCTCTGTATGCCTGAAACCAGCCTCGGCCCCGCGGGGTAACACACCTGGAGATGCACCTCAGGAAAGCAATGCCCAAGAGCTGAGCGTTGTCGCTTTGCTGAGCGCGGGAGCATCCTTCTCTGGCCCCCTGCTCTGCGCTCTGGGAAGGTGGGCAGCAGCGCAGCTCGGGAACGAGCACGTCTCCCACATAAGCACAGGGCGTCCTGCCTGCAAGGCCCACCTGAGAGCAGAGCTTTTGCTTTCCGGCACATCACGCAGAGGTTCAAACGAGAAGCGTGCCATCGAGATGCTGCCCTGCAAATGCCTCAGGCACCCCAGCTCCCGGCATCGCCGCTTTCTGCTGCAGGACAGTGCCACAGCATCCACGTCAACTGCTTCGCTTCTCAGGCCTTGAAGTCACCTCTGGACGCTAAATCCTCACGGTGGCACTGCCAGGACACAAAGGCACATGGCTTCAGGGCCATCTTACATACCCGTCCCTATGCACACACGCCTGAGGAGGTGCTGGCTCCGCAGCTGACGCAGCGATCGATAGGTAGAGTGGACACCGCCGCCTGTCTCTGGCCTTGGTTAGGCCATCGGGGGGTTGATGGCCTTAGTAAGGGGTGGGGTGGCTGTTTTGAAGGTCGCACCAAGCCCTGAGAGTTATTGCTGGAGTGCCTGGAGGGAAGTTAAAACAGGAAACCCTGAGTTAAATGGCTTTGATGAGCCCTCGGTGGCTCTTACTTCCCCCACACAAGAGCAGAGCTTTTTTCCTGATCGTTTCTTCAAGCCCTCTCCACCACCAGAGAAGATCCTCGCTCCATGCACATGCAAAACCAAGCTGTGTTTGCCGTGAGACAAGCTCCAGGCACTTTCCAGATCTGCACCCAGATTTTGCACTGGCAGATGCACATCTGCAGACCCATCCAGCTGCCCCAGTTTCCATGCACAAAAACTCACTTAGGGTTTTTTTTCCCCTCTGCCTCTTTGAAATCAAAGATGCAGACTCCGAATATTCAGAGCAGACAGTGCTACCCATCATCCACTAATCAGACCCTGGCCATAGAGAAGGGGCTGATTGTCCCGTGCTGACTGTCACTGAGGGCTGCAGACTTCAAGCACACGGGGAGGGCACAGAGCATTTCTGAAAACTATGCTGCCACTTTCTCCTTTCTGTTACAAGGTCAGATTTTTTTGGTGATGGTCATAGTCAGCAACACTGGCAAAAAGTCAATTTTAGGAGTCTGTTTAAGGACACAGGCACTGTTGTTGGGCAACATCTGACGGGAAATCCTGCCTGCATCCATAGTATCGCACAGAATCACATGCCAAATAGTTTTTAATGATTTTTGATGGATGATTTCCTCTAGGACTCACTAAAACCGGTCAAACTAGCTTCAGGCTCCAGACTGTTTTGTAGGAGAAAGTGGTGCAAATATCACCATGATAAACCAAAGTTTTGGGGATTTCTCTATTATCCTGCTCTTCTATGTTAAGCTGACCAGTAGAAAGACGACATAAACCACTGAATTAACTCATCACATAATTATTACTTTATCAACTGCTTTAAAAATACATATTTAACATAGTAATTTAAACTGGAAGGAATGTTGTAAGGCACAGTCATTTGGATCAGCATCTTACAGTCTGCAGTCACTAAACCAGATGTTTTGAATCTCACCCAAATATAAAGCAAATGCTGTGTTGAAAAAACAAGAGATTATTCCCATACCTCCCTGCCCTGTCTTTGCTGCAGCATTACTTAAAATTATTCAGCCATATGAAATTCGGAAGTCTATTTGATCTAAAAACAGTGGAGGTGGGACGCCTGACTCGAAAGGCACACACACAGGACACTGCTTAGACAGGTCAGTCGTAATGAAATTCCGGTGTGCCATGTCTACAGCAAGAGAAATCCTTCCAGGTAGCTATGGAGCAAACACGTTGGGATGAGCCACTTGGTCAGCATTCGCTCCTGTGGCGATACAGGTGACAAGAACCATGGATCCCTGCAAATGGGGTTTGCTCCTGTGGGGGCATCAGCTCTGAAACCACCCAGCCTTCTCCTAGGCTCTTCCTTGGGCAACACACCCCTCCCTTACAACTTGTTCTGGTCAACGCTTCCTCTCAAGCCCTGGGCTTTGTCCCTTGCACGTTAAACATCCAGGACTGCAAAAGATAGGGATCAGGTGGTTGAGCCTGAGATGGCATGTCCCATGTCCCCCACTCCACAAACTGCATCCATGCTCTGCTCGGTTCAGTGTCCCTGCCTGACTCACAGAGCAGGGCACGGTATGGATGAGAGGAAATGCATTAGGACTTGTTCTGTTTTAGTGCACGAAGGCTGCAAAAATAACCATGTTTTTCTGCAATAAGTGGTTGATCAGCGGGTGCTCTTTAAAGAAAGCATTTCTGGGCCAGCTGTAGCCTTAATTGAGGCAAATCATGTAATTTGTTTGAACTGCTCTACTTGCACAACTCTGTGTTTAGCTTTCAGAAGAAGCTGAAATACAGCAACGATCCTTCAAGACTCTGCTGTGTGCATGACTCCAACACATGCTGCCAGCTGGGTATCTTCTAGGACCGGCGACCTTTGCTCTGAGATGCGACTGAGGCAGCGGGTCTGCCTGGCAATGACTGTAGCATGGCCCTGGCAGTCTGGGGCCAAGCGGCATTCATCAGCCCGAACCCCTCCGAGGCTTCGGTGGATGAGCAGACAGCTGGCTGGTGGTGGTTGATCTCAGCAGGAGGATGCTCAGTTGTGATGGGCCTGAGGAAAAGAGAGAAACACTGTGGTGAAATCGCACTCTGGGTCTGGATATCTGCATTCTCCCCACTGGCTCTGCCGTCTCCTGCGCTGAAAACTGAATAAAAAGCTGCCAGGTCTGAGAGCAGCACAAGGCCCACCAGCTTCCCACAGAATGTACGCACTCTCTGCTCCATAATGACCACGTTAACTTCAAAATCAAGGTATCGTGTCACAATTCCTCAGTTTTATTTCTTCGAAGAAGCAACATGGTGCTAATCTTACAGTAAGCAGGTTCAGAAATAACCAAATTTTGGTGCATGAGACACTTATCTAACACCTACTTTATTTTCCAAAGCTGTTTCTAACATGAATCAATGGAAGTTTCAAGGGAAAAAAACCCCAAAGTGGGATGTCAAGAACTTGTCTTGGGGTTTACCCAAGGAGTCTTGAACAAGCACCACTACGAGAGTTCTGCAACAGGCATGGGCAGTGGGGAACATGGGAATGGACCAGTAAGAACACAGGAAAATTCTGGGCTATTATTCAAGAAAATATTAAATTTCCAATGCTCAAGCTATAAGGAACATGAGAAAATGCTTCATTTAGCTTTAAACAGACCAAGGCAAATGTCAGCACAAATAAAAGGAGTTCTTTCTGCAGACCAGGCGGGAGACTCCAGAGACAACGTACAAGTCTGCTTTTTCCTGCCGTGAAGTCCCTTCTGCTGACAGCGTGCATACCTGATGCTGCCTGACCCCACAGCTGCTGCTGGTCTTGAAATAGGCCTTTGCCAGCCAGTGCTCCCGGGAGGCTGCCCTTGGGATCTGGAAGCAGCCGGCATGCTGTGCTGGTTCAGGAGAGCGAGTTTTTTTCCCAGAGGCTGGGCTGAAGTTTCTTGATGAGCGTTTGACTGGCACCGCTGTGTCCACTGCCTGTCCTCCTCTTCGCAGGGTATTTTTAGGCATCTTATTCCGTGGTTCCTCATCTTCCAGGGTCTTGCTGCAACACCCGTTACAGATGCAGGTGAAGGGCCTTTTGGAGGGGATGGAATTAGACAATGGTTCAGGTTGGAGAACACTGCACCTTCCTGAGCCTGTGATGAACCTGAAAGAGGGGGGAAGCACAATGATTTACAAGTTCATCTTACTCCTAAATGACTAACCCAGTGAGTGAAAGGTTTTAGAGAACGCTGTGTGATGGAGCTGGGTGGGCAGGCGTGTCCTGGGGCACACAGCGATGCTGGCCTTGTTGAACTCCTTCCTCTGATAGTCGGGGGTTGGGGTTACTTGGCAGCCTCCCTGCCAGTACTGCTGGTGATGTGCCAAGCCCTGGAGCTGCTCACGAGCCGTGCACAGCTCCAGAGGGACAGACCAGCTCACCCATCCTCCTGTTCCCAAGCAGGATCATACATGCATCATTCCTGGCCAGCGTTTACACTGACTTGTTTTAAATACCTGAGGACTCCATCCAGTGGATCTGCAATTCAAGGCACAGAAACAATCACAGATGAGTGAATCCACTGTTTTTTAATCAGAGACAGAGGTGATGCAGTGACCATGCGACAGTGGAGTTCAGGATCCTGCATGGAAGTAGCAGGGTAAAAAACAGAATTGCACTATTAATTGGAAATTGGACTTCAGGAGAGCTGACTGGCCTCTTCAAAGATCTGCTTAGAGGAATCCCACGGGCTGAGGCTCTAAAAAGAAGGGGGGTGCAGGAGCGCTGGTTAATATTAAAACATCACTTCCTCCAAGCTCAAGATCAATGCATTCCTGTGAGGAGGAAATCTGGCAAAGGAGGTGGGAGACCTGCAAGGATGAGCAAGGAGCTTCTGGAAAAACTTAAAGAAGGAAGTTTACAGAATGTGGAAAAAGGGACTGGCCACTTGGGAAGAATATAGGAATGTTGTCAGAGCGTGCAGGGATGCAATGAGGAAAACTAAGGCCCACTTAGAATTAAACCTGGCAAGGAATGTCAAGGACAGTAAGAATGGCTTCTTCAAGTACATCAGTAGCAAAAGGAAGATGAGGGAAAATGTGGACCCGGTCCTGAATGAGGCAGGTGCCCTGGTGACAAGAGGATGCAGAGAAGGCACTGTTGCTGAATGCCTTCTTTGCTTCAGCCTTTTAGCAGTAAAGGCTGGTCCGCAGGAATCCCAGACCCTGGAGGTAAGAGAGAGAGCCTGGAAGAAGGAAGATCCTCCCTTGGTTGAGGAGGATCAGGTTAGAGAGCATCTAGGCAAATGATATCATCAAATCCATGGGCCCTGACGGGATGCATCCACAAGTGCTGAGGAAGCTGGCAGATGCTATTGCAAAGCTGCTCTCCATCATCTTTGAAAGGTCATGGAGAACAGGAGAGGTGTCTGAGGACTAGAGGAAAACTAATGTCACACCAGTCTTCAAAAAGTGCAAAAAGGAGGACCTAGGAAACTACAGGCTGGTCAGCCTCACCTTCATCCCTGGAAAGTTGATGAAACAGCTCATCCTGGATGTTCCTGAATAACCCCCTGCACCAGTGCAGGTCGGGGGTTGACCTGCTGGAAAGCAGCTGTGCAGAGAGGGACCTGGGGGACAATCAGTTGGCCATGAGCCAGCATGTGCCCTGTGCCCAAGAAGGCCAGTGGTATCCTGGGATGCATTAAATAAAGCGTGGCCAACAGGTTGAGGGAGGTTATCCTCCCCCTCTACTCTGCCCCAGTGAGGCCACATCTGGAATGCTGTCTCCAGCTGTGGGCTCCCCAGGTCAAGAAAGATGGGAACTACCAGAGAGAGTCCAACGGAGGGTACGAAAATGATCAAGGGAATGGGGTGTCTCTCTTATGCAGAAAGGCTGAGAGAGCTGGGGCGGTTCAGCCTGGAGAAGAGGAGACTGAGGGGGGATCTTACCAATGCTTGTACATATCTGAAGGACGAGTGTCAAGAGGATGGGCCAGACTCTTTCCAGTGGTGCCCAGCGACAAGACGAGGGGCAACGGGCACAAACCTGAATGCAGGAAATTCCACCTCAACGTGAGGAAAAATGTCTTCACTCTGAGGGTGCCAGAGCTCTGGAACAGGCTGCCCAGAGAGGTTGTAGAGTCTCCTGCTCTGAAGATACTCCAAACCCCCCTGGATGTGTTCCTGTCCAACCGGCTCTAGGTGAACCTGCTCTGGCAGCAGGGTTGGACTAGATGATCTCCAAAGGTCCCTTCCAACTCCCACAGTCTGTGATTCTGTGCAAGAATAAGATCTTGAGACTAGCTCAAAAGTGTCTGACTGCTAGGGAAAATATTGCATTACATGGCAGGGCTAATATCTGTCTGTTCATATGTCAGCCCATGTAACCCTCAGGTGCGACATACAGAGAAGGAAAATCTTGTTGCTGATTTATGAACGTGTATGCATATATGCTTAAAACCATTCTATATATAGCAGGGATCCGATTGCTCTTGTCTATTAAAAGAACCAACTGTACCTAAGTGCCTGACGTGCAGTGTCTAGAGCAGGAACACAATCTAAAGAATGTGCCACCAAAACCCAGGCCCAGAAAGTTCAACTTTGTAACTCCTAATGGATCGGGATGTGTTTTACTCTTTAGGTAACCACATAAACCTGATACAAAAATTTCACTGAACACCTCCCATCATACTATATGCTTTAGAATGTCTACATTTCATAGGGTCTTTACTTTGTTTTTAAGTAAAGACACTCTGACAGACTGGTATGCCTGACTCAAGAGCCCGAAATAACACTGAAGGACTTCAGAGTGCAGATCATATGGATCTGATGGTGCAAACACTTTTACACAAAAGCAGTTTAGCTCAGATGACTTGTCCCTTCCTAGTCAAAAGGATTGTTTCCAGCAACAAGTTGTTCCGTGAGAAAATCACATTGGGTAGGACACACTTCTGAGGTTAAGTGTTGAGGCATTTAAATAACTCTCAAAATCCTGACACCATCTCCAGTCACAGTGTATTTTTACACAAGTCAAGTATATTTTTAACTGCCTTGCTGAATAAAATCTACCAGTTGCTCAAGTTTTATCAGGTATTTGTTCTACAAAACACCTATGTTAGTGTCAGTGGGCAAAGGCTACTGTGTGATTATTTGAAACTTGGTTATTATGGCCAGCTGCTTGTGATTTGGGATCTGAGTCATCTGCCTCCCCTTCATCCCCTGTCCAAGGTAATTCTAGACTTCAAACCACCCCATCAATCTTGTAACCAAACCCTAGCAGATTTGGTTACAAGATGGGCAGATTTATGACCAACCATTCACTTTTACCATCCTATAGAGCATGACACTGGCACACCATGAGATGTGTCCTACAGGGCATGACACTGGCACACCATGAGATGTGCGGGTCGTGGTCTACCCAATCTAAAGAGGTGATGAGATCATAATAAATCATACTCAATTTAAAGAAATCATATTGAATCTAAAAACGATGAAATTAAATCTAAAGAGACCATGAGATCTGAGATGTGTGGGTCATGGTCTGCCCAATCTAAAAAGGTGATGAGATCATAATCAATCATACTTCATTTAAAGAAATCATATTAAATCTAAAATAGATGAGATTAAATCTAAAGAGACCATGAGATCACAATCTAAGATTTCTGTAGTCACTGGACAATAGGCTATTCCTTTAGATTTTTCCAACAGCTTCCGTTCTCGTTAAGGAGATTGGGTCATGGTCTGCCCAATCTAAAAAGGTGATGAGATCATAATCAATCATACTTCATTTAAAGAAATCATATTAAATCTAAAATAGATGAGATTAAATCTAAAGAGACCATGAGATCACAATCTAAGATTTCTGTAGTCACTGGACAATAGGCTATTCCTTTAGATTTTTCCAACAGCTTCCGTTCTCGTTAAGGAGATACTGTTTCTATTACTGTTCATACACAGAGGCTTTGAATAGTTTAATGATACTTCTGTTTTTCCAAAACATATGATATTTTTCCAAATTTTAATAAATCTATTTTTGCCCTTGAAAGAAATGTAAAACAAAAACTCACATGCTAATATTTATTGAGGGAGAAAAAGGGTGATTGTTAACAAAACAAAAAAAATAAAGTTGCACTTTTGTAAGCTCCTCTACTTGATTTATATTTGAAATAACCATTATTAATGTTTGTAATATTCTTAAATATGATATTCAACAAGCAGAGAAGAGCAGGAATTCTGCTTTCATTCACATAAATGCAATTCCAGAGAGGCCTTTGGCTTCGCTCCTGAGCATAAGAGCACATTTCATTTTTAAACTCTTTACTGAATGCATCCCTCTGGTTGCTTATCTTTCCAGAATTCTCAGTTGCCCAGTTAAACCTCAACCATTAGTTGAGTCATTATTTCCATCAGTGCCAACTGGGGTAAAATATAGCTCAGGTGGAACATCAGTATGTTAGTCTCACCTGGCACTTCCATAAACTAGTGACACAAGGTAGAAGACAGAGGCATGTCCTTCCTCTAAGGTGGTGGTGCAAGATCAGCTTTGTTCCTCTTAATTCTACAGATCCATGCTGAAATATGGCAAGTGATGGTCAACACAGCTGGCCATCACGTCCTGCTTAAAAACTGGAATGGATTATGTAGGGTCTGGCAACAGTATTTCCAAATTGCTGCTCTAGAGCACAGAAGCCAGATCTCATAAAACACTGCAGCTACCACTACACCTATCTACAGACAGCGAGTAGCATGTGTTACTTACTACCCAATGCTAACCCTTCCCAGAGGTTTAGGTCCAGTACCTGAAGAAGACTGTGAGACACAGGAGTGACAAGAAGAATCAAGTGAAATCCTTTCAGTGAGGTCCTCACCACAGGTCTTCCGCAACTCCCCCTCACAGCGGTCAGTCAGGCTGCTGTCTTCACTCTCTTCCTCATCACCAAGCGTTTCCTTCAGTGCTTGGGCATCTTCTTCTTGCTGACCTGGTAGCAGGCACCTGGACAACATCAAGTAGTTAGTTGTGAGTTAGTTAGCCTTTGAGCTGTGAATATGCAGCCAGCCAAGTGCAGCTTGGCATGTGGCATGGCCACCCCGGCAAACACCCAGACAGTGAATTTTGTCACCCACTGTGATTTCCCACTTTCCCGGAGATATGGAAAATCATTCTAAATGGATCAGTCATCTAAGCTACCTGTGTCTGACTATCTGAAAATGTCCTAAAGTTAATCAAGTGAAACGGGACAGATTTAAAACACTACACAGTGAAGTAAGCTCAGAGAAATAAAGCCACTTTCACTTTCAAAACAACCATTATCTAAGAGATGGGAGGATCCAGCATGGCGTTAGTTCCCTTTCAGCCTTCGGTTTGGTTAGGCTAATGAGATGCTTGCAGAAAATCTCAACTTTCACTTCTTTCACTGTCGGAAGGTAGATAACGTCAGGGCCAAGAATGTCTCACCAGTTATGAAAAATCATTTCCGTGCTCTGGCTGAGCACGTGAGCTCACCTTGCCTGTGCTGGTCAGAGCTTCCCCCAGGTTTCTTCTCCCTTGATCACCCAGCAGATTGGCACGCAGGGACAAGGAGGCAGGAGGCCAAGACTATCCCAGGAAGCTGCCACCAGGTGGCCAAAGAGTTTATTTTATTATTATTACAGCAGGAAATGTATGGCCGTTTCATTGCACAAGATTTCTCACCGCTTGTGCTGCTCTCTCCCTACTCTCAGTTCAGAGAGCTTATCTTCCTCGTGCAGATCTCCTCTTCCAGAGCCATAAAGGTTTTCTGTCTTCAGACCACACGGTTTCAATGAGCTCACTGCAGGCGGCTGCAAAAACGACACAGAAGTTACCTCGATAACCCCAGGAGCTCTCCTCAGCTCCATTTCCAGATCCTGGATTTTGGAAGGCATCAGAGTCTGCTGCTAGTCCTGACTTTTCACATCACGCCTCACCATTTTCTTGCTCTTCAGTTCTAAGCAGCTCCACACTGCCGTCACATGCACTACTGCAGCTTGAGGAACCAGGGTGGCAGTAACAAAAATGTTGATTTATATCTCGCCGGCGTATAAACCTGCAGCATTGATGCCAATAAGCATACCACGACAAGTATCACAGCAGCTGCATTATTCAGCGTGTGATCACAGTCCCCTCCTCATTCTAGTTTATAACACACAGTAGTTCACTCAGGTGTTCACACTTGTTTCAGAAAAGATTCCAGTGCTCAGGCAGTGGCAGCAGAGAGACAGGGGAGGGACAGATTTTTTCCAGTGGTTCTTTAATATCTGTTGTCAGCATCAGGTGAGGCTGGCGACAGCGCAGCGATGCAGGTGTCCCATGCGTGCCATTTCCCTGGTGTAGCACAGCCTGTTTAAACATACGCACGTGCATCTGTGCTGTGCTGGATGTCAGGGCCCAGAAAAGCTAACCATGACGAGCCGGACTGCACCCCCTCACGCACATAGGTACCCTCTCACTACGCTACTGCCAAAATGTGGCTGACCCACAGGGCTGGGGTACCACCGCGCTGCTGAGAGGAACAAACTTTGGCTTTGTGTTTGTTTAGGCAATAGGAATGACCCTGCAACATTATTTACGCCAACATCAAACAAACACTGCTGAAAAAAAAATCCTTTACTTAATAGCTGTTGCAGAAATACTGTCAAATTTTGCAATCCTGCCTTCTGCTTTCATGGTAGGAAATGCGCTGCCAGCAGCTGCTACCTGATTTTCACACGTTCCTTTACAGCTGATGGTTAAACGCTGCTAGCACATGGGCACCTCTAACCTCTGCGCAAGAGACTCACCATCCCCCTCAAGGCCAATTGCATGTTGAGGGGTTTTTTGGCTACAGAAGAGTAAGCCAGAGAGGAAGTTCAGTTTATCCCAGGATTTATGGGGGTCACCAGGCAGGAATATGAAGTATACAAGAAAAACATACACCTAGCTTTTGCCTCCTTGCACGAAGGGCCTTGGTGGGGTTCCCACATATAACCTGTCCGAGTCCTAAGAAAAAAAGGAAAAAAGAAAACATTTTACTCCAGCATTTAACAAATGGTGCTGTCTCTGAAACCAGTCAACATCATTTCCCACAGACAGGAAGATGTAATATTTCATGGTTAGCTTCACAGTGCCAGGTGGCACGGCCTGACACTGCTGCTGAGACTCAGTTTCTCTGTTTCTAGCAGAATCTGTCTCCTCCTGCCCTGCCTCCTTCCACTGTGCTAGTGCAAACATTTGTGTGGCCACATGGTGAGTCAGGTCAGGGAACGGATCCAGATTAAAACTAAATATGCTTTTTTTGGGGGTGTTTTTGTTTGTTTTGCTGGGCTGTTTTTCAGCTGGATCTCGATCAGAATCAGGTTCCCCATGTGGCTATGCAGATGCTCTTGTCAAAACAAGAGACAAGGCAGCAAAGGGGCAGGAAGAAGCAGTGAACATTGGGTGAAACAGTCTCTATCAGCAGTGCACGTGAAATTATGGTCTCATTCCCTGGCAAGCTGTACTTGGTTTCCACATACTTCTCTGAATGCACACTCTGCTGTTGACACTGCATTGCTTAATCCTGAGACCTCCCTACAGCAAGGAACTGAGGTGGGACTGGCACCTGAGAGAAAGCAGTCCACAATTCTGGGAAAACAAACACCATCTTTCTATCTAATCTGCACTCTATGGGCTGTCACTGACAAGGTCTTTCCAGGAGCCAGGGAAGGATTTCTTGGGAAGTGCCAAGTATCGTACCAGAAGTGAATTCTCCTTCGACCCAGCTGTCCCCAGGAACTGCCAACCTGGTAGTACTTCCAGATGGCCAGGGCACACAGGGCAGTGGTACACCTCTGTTTTGGGCTAGCCTATGTGAAATGAAGGGACTGACTCCTCTTTGCTGAGGGATCCACCTCTGGAAACCCAAAAGAAAGTGCTCGTTGACAGCAGCAATGCTGCTGCAGTATGAGACCGCCGTACAGACAGTTCAGGCACATGATCCAACAGGGAGTCAACGTGCAATTTAAAGGACTGAGCAGGACAGCTTTTGCTGAGGTGTGAAAGGTCCTTCAGCAAGGGAGCACCGTTGCAGCACGGGGCCATTGAGAGGGACAGCAGCACGTAATGCGTGGGACTGAGGGGCTGAGGAAGGGGAAACCCAGATGACTTGCACCGTCTGCTGCAGGGGGAAATAAAGGAAAGCCCACTCTAGAGCAGGTGAGTCCCAGGGAAGAAAACATATGCTGAACCTGATGTAGCAGCAGCACGGGTGGGTGGTATTCAAAGAACTCAGGCTTTCATCAGCAATAACATTCAGAAGGAGGTGGAGGTGCGGGAAAGAGCAGGATTAAAACCCATACATTACCATGTGTCAAATCACTGGAGTCGTCTTCTGTGAACAGCTCGTTAGAAACAGTGGGATCTGGAAGAGGGCAGCCACGGTGCAGGAGGCGAGCATTGCCAGATACCCCTGCACCAGCACTCCGCTGTGCAGTTCTAGGTCTGGAAGTTGTTGGGGGTCTTGGGCCGCATCCAGGCTGCCTTGCTACTTCCCCAAGATACGGACCTAAGAGAGAGGTTTCGCTAGTGTAAGCACAGTTGTGCAAGGCTTCATCACCGTACGCTGCCAAGGCAGTGACTGCTGCCGCACACTTGGAGCTGTAGAGGAAAGAAAAAGCTGTCATTGCAGCTACAAGAAACACGCTGGAATGGGCCAAGCCTGGAAACAGAGGGCTTCTTGGTGCTGCACACAGTCCCTCATAGCTGTCCTCTGCAGACAGCAGAACCTGGGTCCCTTCCCACCCTCCTCCTCTCCTGGGTGCCGGAGACCGGCGGCTGGCTGTGGACGGGGCCAGGAACCAAAAAGCCTCCAACCGACTGCCCCACAGGTGAGCCTGGAGGTGTCCTGGGCTCTGCTACTTCCCCTGCCTGCCTACCTGGTGTGAGATTATACAAAAGCTAGTGTGGATTATACAAAAGCTAGCAAAGTCAGACAGAGCCTTGTCCTCTTACCTGCCCAACCACCATCTGTCCTGGGAGCACAGCACAGGACAGGAGAGAGAATTTCTAGATGAATAGCGTGCTTTGTAAAGTGTTGAGCATCTACCAGCTCCACAGTGGAGCAATCCGCTCTGTAATAATATGGCCATTTCCTTAAGAGCTGAGTGTTTAAAATATCTTGGCCGTAGTTGTTAATACAAACCCATGGAATACAGAGTGCATGGAAAGTCCCCAAGTCACCACTGGAAAGAAAAAATATGGGGATATCTGAACCTGACCACATGAGCTCATCAGTTTAGAGCTGAAGCAAAGAATATAAGCCTGGTTACACTAGGAAACAATACAAATTCCCAATTTTGTGCTCTGTCAGTTCACTTTGTTAACTAGTTTTCTGAATCGTAGCTGATATTGCCAAAGCAGGATCACTGAGGGATCAGATTTTAATGCATTTTTTTCCCTACTGTAACTACTATTACAACTAATGATTTGGACCCACAGGGATTAGACAAATGACAACCGTATGTACTTATTCCAAAGCAAACTGAATTTTTAATGGAGTACCGCTGGCAGGCAAACCCCAACTGGCAGGAAGGAGAAGCCAACTGCACTGCCCACACTAATGGGAAGCAACAGGAGCAGTTATAGGAAACACACTGTAATATTTAATGGTACATGGTAAAGTGCATGTAGCATGATACATAAAAGCATGGACATCTGAACTATAACCAAGGCTACAGGCAAGGGGACAACAGATTTATCTTCAAACCATTTACTCACGACTAATGAACGTAATGGACTTAATCACAGAGGCAAAGACAATGGAACAGATCTATTATGAGACTACACAATCCCAGTTGCTAGGATGTTGCTACCACTGAAGGGTGGTGATGAAATTGCCTTTCCTATTATAAAATCGGAGTAGGAAATCCTGCTACATCCACGTTACATGGGATTGACTGCTACCACGGAAAAGGCTGTGAAGAGCTGCTGTTGAAACATTCCCTTCCAAGCTTTGCTTCTTCCCACCATGCAGAATGAGTACAGGCTCCCAGCTACTGCTAGACTTACTCAGTGCTCTAGAAGTCATCTACATTTTTCTGATCTTGATGCCCAGCTTAGGACAGATTTCATTTCAACCTGCACCATGCTGAGTTATAGACTCCTCACTTCCCAAGTGAAGAAGACAATGTCTTTTGTCCCTTTGCTATAATCCAACATTGGCTTTAAAGAGGCCAGCTTGCTCTTCATCTTTCTTTTTCACACATCATAACCTGAAAAATGAACCCCCATAGGAAACGTGACATACCTAACCATGAAATGTCTCCAGCTAAGCCACCATCCTTGATGGATTCCTTGATGATTAGCCAATCTTCATGCATCTTCTTGGAAGGAAGGAGAGCAGTCTGGCTTGCTGGTATTTCATCCAAATACTCCAAGTGGGGAATGATTTTTTTTACTTCAGCTCTGTAATTATAATCTGGTTCCTGAAGAAATTGTGAAAGTGGTCATTTGAGCAGTTTATTTAATAGACTGTGGACCTCCCCCAGCAGCACAGGAGTGTTCAATTTGTATGACTGCCATATAACTTGAAACGCCTGCTACAAGGCAAACCTATTCACCTCATTCAAGATAAATAAATACAGTCAGGAGATTCACTACACCGTGCATTCTCCTCACGTACTTTCTCTTCAAATTGATTGTGAACGTGTCCTGAGCAGTGCAAACACATGTTCCCCACCCAAAGGCTCTATTGCTGTTTACCCACTGACGACTGGCATTTGTCTTTGTTGCATTACGTGTAACGTACTGAAGTGCAGAAGGCCACTGATGCTGATGGGAAGCCTGGGCACCTCAGCATGCAGCCAGGCTCTCTCACTGCTTTTGTGATTCTCTGGTTGCTGCATCAATACTCAGGTGACAGGAAGAGTTGAAAACATGAGTGTTGCTACACCTACTGATAGAAAAAGAAAGGGCATTTCTAAGGATCGTGTTTTTAGGAACACTCATAAACCAGCTACAGCAAACGAACTGCACTGATTTTCCAGGGCAGTCTTCAGAGGTTCGATTTTGTATGATTTTATTCAGAGGCAATAGCTTATTTCAAACTAGGTTTTCTTCTGCAAGAGGTCACACGGCAACAGCAGGTGCACAGGAACCTAAAACGGGCTGCTCTTGGGTTTCTTTTCTGTGTGCTGGAAAAACAAGGTGATAGCTCCCAATGGACTCAGTGTAACAGCCATGGGGGAAAGCACGGGTGCAGCCCCCTTCTGCATGTGTCAGTGGAGCTGACACATCACAAATGATTCCCAGGCGCACGTCAGTGTCTAAGGACCTCTGAGCAGCAAGGCCAATCCAGACCAGTTACAACTGTGCTCAGAACATAATGCGAATTGGGTGTTTTGGTGGATTCCACAGGTAGAAAGACACCTCCACATGGCACCTTTGTCTTTGGGAAGACTTAGCAATACCTCAGGGCTGAGTAGGTCATGCTGCTTTACAACAGGAATATTTTTGGTTAAAACAGTCTCAGATTACAAAAGGCATCGAGCGGTGATGGCCATCTACTCTCCTTAAAGAAAGTATAAAGCAAGAGTGCAGTGCTAGTGGCAGAATAGGAATGGGCAGCTCCCTACAAATCAATTACTTCATCCAGACACGTTATGCTTTTCAAGACATTGCATGCAATATTAGAAAACCCCACAAAGCCAAGTCTTCATTCAGCACTAGCAGAATTCTTTCCGTGGGACCTGTCTGGCTGTACGCTCCCTCCCTCATCATGAGGCAGCAGCAAGGCTGGCAGAGGGAACTCGCCAGGTAACGCGTGTCTTTGTCGCTGTTAAGAGGCAGACACAAAATTTCTCTAACTAAGCCTTTAATCTTAATTTAGAAAATGAGTCAACCAATCGCCATGCTACCCCATGCCACACGTACTCTGAACAGCGCCTGGGCTACAGCCAATTTCCAGCCATGTCCTGCTGGAGAGAAGCATCATGTTACCCTCATGTTACATTACTGCAGCAGAGGCTGCAGAATTTATCATCAGGTTGTTGCTCTTGGTTTAGATAACAGGGGAAGATGAGCTCATCTGAAAATCAAATTACAGACAGCAAACAGGCCATCTGAAGAAAGAGCAGTAAATTTAGCTGGACCATTCTGTAGATTAAAAGTAAATAAATAGTAGAGCTTTTATAGAGCTGTGGCAAGGGCCAGGGTACAAGGAGCTTGAGGAACGAGAGCTGGCCATTTGGCCACACCAAAGTAATCCCACAGCTACTCTTTTCTATATTTCAGGTGACTTCTGTATACCCTGAAGAAACACAAACAACATCAGTTGAAACCAAGAAAGCGACTAAGCCCACGGAGAAGCTTTCAGCAGCCAAGGGCAGGGCCAGCCTTGTAACCACCCCATGGCTGAGCAGCTTTCTGACACGGAAACTGGGTGGGAGACTACGGTGAAGTCCCAGTCTGCCTCTGTGACTATTCAGTGTAAAACATACCGTCGTGCAGGCTCCCTTGCCAAATCCTGGCTGGCATTTGAATGCAACTATGTGCGCAGGGGTAGAATCAGGATGGAGAAGGGCAGTAAGGCACACCACCACATATCACTCCTCTTTGAACTCCTGTTACGTGACAACACGCAGCAGCATCCCAAGGACTGACCTCCTCAGCTAAACAAACCAGGGCCAATCTGCCATTTCTCAATTACATTTAAGGACTGAAGATGCCAAGTGAAAACTACGCTTTCCAAAAATACTACTTTTGTTGAGCAGGAACAACAAGGGAGTAGAAACAGGCTTTCTGTGCTGTTAGGATGTACTGCACCATTTTCATGGTGGGAATCTGTAATAAGGAAGTGTCAGAAGCTGTATTTGTCTCCATGGGAGTAAGGAGTATGTTTTTTCCTCTCACGAGTGCATCTTCTGTAAGGAGAGATGTTGATGGAGAAATCATTTTGGCTATAAATAATTACAAGTATGGTCTCTGAAGTATGCATCTGCCAGTTCAAAATAGAAAGGTAAGTGTACAGTATTTTCTTTTGGATTCCAGAGAGAAATATTGTGATAGTAAAGCACTATGTTCTGTGGCTCCTTTTACTGAGGGATATGATCAAGCCAACAATTACATCTGAAAAATGCTAATAGCTCATGCGTCTAAAAAGTGTGAACATTTAAAGTATGTGTGTATCTACTACATGATTAAGTTTTAGTGATAGAACCTCAGTTTTCAAGTCTAAATCCAGGACAAATATCAAATACAACCTTTTATGCTGAAGGGTCTGGAGCAGAATTCCTGTGAGGAGCGGCTGAGGGAGCTGGGGATGTTCAGCCTGGAGAAGAGGAGGCTCAGGGAGATCTTATCACTCTCTGCAACTCCCTGAAAGGAGGGCGCAGAGGGGGTGTCAGTCTCTTCTCTCAAGTGACAGGCCTCAAGTCGTGCCAGGGGCAGTTTAGATTGGATATTAGGAAAAATGTCTTCACGGAAAGGGCTGTCAGGCATTGGAACAGGCTGCCCAGGGAGGTGATGGAGTCACCATCCTTGGAGGGATTCAAGAGACCTGTGGAAATGATGCTGAAGGACACGGTTTAGTGCTGGTATTAGCAGTGTTAGGTTAACAGCTGAACCTGAAGAACTTGAAGGTCTTTTCCAACCTAAATGATTCTTTGAATCTGTGATCCCATGCAAACTAATCGTGTGGGTATGATCACTTTGAAATTCATGGCGAAGCTATGGAACATGGCACCGTGGAGCCACAGTGCCAGCTCCAGCGCTGCTTTCTAACCCCTGTGTTATCAGCTCTTTACAGTGCCATGGGGACTGCACCATCCTTAGTGAGCGCTGTGTATGGCATACCTCTGTGTGTGCACAGGTCCGTGACTTTCCAAAAGATCTGGGTGACAATATATCGTGCACTGGCCGTAAACTGTCAACTGATGACGTGTCAGACATTATGTGACCAAAAAAAAGAACAGTCTTATTTGACCAAGTTTTTTGAACTCTGATTTTCCTCCAGTTACCTTTTCAGTACCTGCCAGGATGCTTCTTTTTACATCCCAACAATGCTTTTAATTGAAGAGGGTGAAAGCGAAAAATACAGCCCTGAGACTGTTCATGTAGAATCAGATCTCCCTTACCTTTCTTGTTGAGTGCTCTGAAAGCCAAAGCAGATCATGTCTTACTGTGTTTTCATCTTTGTGACACAGAGGATCTCAAGCCCCCAACAAAATACTTTTGCAGAAATGATTTTATCATTTAAGTACCTAAGAGGTGAATCACTGTGGTTTGTATCTTCAGCTTTCGTTGAAGGTCTTTTTGGTCATTTCATTTAAATCTTTCAGGGGAAAGGGCAACAAGCAGTTCCTACAATATAGCTTTTCCTAGTTATCTCAAGGATCATCTTTCTGAGGGTTCAACATTTTTAGTGTGGTGGTCCAAGAGCACTTGCAGTGGACCAGAGAGCCTCCAAAAGAAATGCAAAAGCCTGAACACAGGTATCTAATAGAGGCATTGCAATTGGCGCATCTTATAAGAAAAAATGTGGGCTACTTTCTAACCCGCTGCAAGATCTGTATAGGCTATAAGGATCCATACAGCTAGGGGCAATGTCCTCCTTGGTTTTCCCTAAGATGCCTGTTTGCACTGCGAGCTGGGACAAGACAGAACGGCTGCATGGATCAGAAGAGCCGATTTCTAGTTTAATTCCATTCTTACCAGTTAGAAGGAGCACATTGCTAGGAAACAGGTCTGAGTCTTTACTAGCACTTCTTGTATTTAATTTCTGCTCATCTTGGAGAGAATACCCACCAGAGGACAAAATCTACAGAAATGAAAGATGGGAAATGCATCCCCTGTCCCCACTCACAATGATACAACAGGAGGATGCAGAAATATTTCTCATTTCCAACTCAAACTAAAAAAACACTGCCAACAATTAACACAGTATGTGCAAAGCAGGTCCTCACCTCTGCAGATTCTGCATTTGGCTTCAGACAAATAAGGTTGCCCTCCACGGTCAGGCGGCTCAGCTTGCAACAAAGTCCCAGGTACTGCATCTGGCTGATGTCCTCAATATTGTTTCCTTCCAGATCCAAAACCTCGAGGTGTTCCAACCAGGTCAGCTGGCTGAGGTCAGAGATATTATTATAGGCTATGTAGAGTTCCTCAGAAGAAATAAACAGAATAAACACGTAAACCACAGGCTTGCACTCAGGTTTTGCAAAATGTTTTCTAATATTTGAAATATTACATGGCACAGCATGAATTTAGCATGGAAGTGAACATCTTTCAAGTGGGGCTGTTGCTGCCTTCAATAACTAGGGCTAACATGGCAACGAACGCCGTGCTGTATTAGGCATCTTCAGGATCAGACCGATCAGACCTGAATGTTACACCTAATTTAAAAAAAAAAGACTGTAGCATCTTTTAAACTAACACATGCAACCCCAGGTATCCAACCAAAGCCCTTTAGGAAAACAAAGGGTGAGAAGAGAACAAGTTCTCTTCTACAAGTAAAGAGAAGAGTATCAACTGAAGATAGTTTTGGGATCATCATTTGGCAGGACACATCTATACTTACTTTGAGAGAGCCGCAGGAAGAGATCCCATCTAAATCTGAGAGCCCACAGCAAGCCATCCACAGGATGCGGAGATGGGACAATGTAGTTCCAAGATCCCTTATAAAAGAAACAATTCAATCTCTGAATGGATGAAGGAACTCGAGACTTGCTTTCTTTTTCCTAAGACCAGGCCACTGCTACTTCCTTCGAATCTCACATTGTTTACAAGAAACGTCATTAAAAATGTTCACCTTCAAAGGTGGAGAATAAAATCACACCACTTTCTACTTCTCTCTCACAGACATCTTTGCTCTTGTATGACAATATGTCACACCAGTTCAGTCTGATTAAGATTCTTCCAAGAACTACAGCATGGTAATTCTGTCCTAAATCACAGGTGATTAAGCGAGGTTTGCTTATGCTGGCATCATTTGCTCTACACACATAGTAACCCAAATTAACATACCTGAGCTGATTGCAGATTCTAGACTTTCTGGTCCTGACCCAGAAAACCACACACTGACCTGCTTAGCTCCATGCATGTGTAATGTCCTAGTGACATTGCAACCGTGCACTATACACAGATAATGTAAAATGCAAAAATGGTGGCAAATCAAACTGGAGGCTTAATGTTACCAAAGAGGAAAGGTTGTTAAAGTTGCATAAAGCCACTACTAAAACATAAACGAAGTACAACACTTTATCAAACTCCTAACCAACCAAAAGCCCAGAATTCTCTACCGTAGCCATCACATCAGACTATCTGAATAATAAAGAACTAAACAGTGGGGAACTAAGTACAAGGACAGTTTATCAAAGGAGGTTGAGACTAGCATGGAGTTCAGAGAATCACAGCAACAATGGAGGTTGGAAGGGACCTTTGGAGGTCACCTTGTCCAACCCCCATGCTCAAGAAAGGCCAGTTGCCCAGCACCACATCCAAACCGCTGAAACAGTTCTTAAATGGAGTTTCTCAAAACTGGGGATTAGCTGCCTTCTATAATATCCATTATAATATATGTTTTAATGTACTGCCTAGGGAAAATTACAGAAGATAAAAGAATATGGTCATGGGGTGCCTTCTGATCTTGGAATAAAGGTAACAGTTCTCGTATTCGTGTCTTCTCTTTATGGACCAGAACCTCTTGTAGCTTTGATGCAGCTCTGCAGCAAAAAACCCACAGTCAAATTGCCTGTTTCAGGGATACGGCACAGCCAGGCAGTCCAAGAGGTCAGGAAGCAGAACTTTTACAACTGGCGATAGATGTATTCTTGTCTATGTTTTTTGTTATTTCTCCACCACCTGAAAACTTCGGAAGGGCCACATCAGGAGAGAGGAGAGTGCATAAGGCTGCATGAAGGACGGATGCATGGAAAAATTTCCCCAGATGTCTCTCTCCTGAAATCTGACAAATACAGAGTTGAGTAGCACTTTTGAGGGTGAAATTGGGGATTTTCACCCCTCTGCCTTTTGGGGCATGGTTTGTCCATGGGTGTCATTCAGATTCATGTCACTTCATCCATCCTCCATCACTGCAGAGGACCCAGGCTTAGGGTGCCTCTGACCATCTCTTCCCCAGATGCTGCAGATTGAAATAAGCTCATGATGGATACAGCACACAACATGTTTACATAGTCGTTTATAGTCTTTGAAGTACAAATATTGCAGCTGACCTAATGGCCAGAACAAAGCAAAGAAGAAAAATCGCAGGCACACGATGCATCTCTTTTTGCCTACAGCTTCTTTTCTGTGCAGGAGAAAACCCTCAAACTGACATAAACCACACCACCTCCGCTGAATTTTGTGCATCAAAGCAGCTTGTCCGTACTGCCACAGGACATCACTGTCTAGCAGAGACAGAGACACAAGGATAAAGCAAGCCACGCACACACAGAAACTCCCTTCCTGTATAAACAATACGGTTCCTTCTGCAATCTTATTTTACCTCGTTCTTCAGCTATCAGGGCAACAGGGAACACCTGCCATTGTGTCACTGTACCTGTGACCAGGTAAGCCCCTAAAAAGGTGGAAGTTTGTTTCACCTCTTTCTAATTACTTATTCAGATTTGCCTGACCAGAAGGACCATAATGTCCCTGTAGGTCATCGTGTCCCCAGCCTTGCAGAAGTTCTTCCAGGCACTATTTACATTGTGCATATTTTATTTATAAAACAAACACGGCTTCTACAGCTTCCTTAAAGAACAGATGCCTCCCAAAGTAATATTTGCAGAAATTCATTATTGGATTTGCAAGCTGCGTGCCTATAATAAGAAAGAAATTAAATTACAAACGCAGAACCTACCATCAACCAGGACCAACACATCCATACACATGAACACGACATTAGGAATTACGGGTAGGAATTACATTGCTCATCTCATGACCCACTTCAAGTAGTGATGAGTTTTTCAAATTTCAGGCTAATTTTGGGGTCTAATTTTATTTTCTGTAAAGCACTGAGCACAGGTAAAGGAAAGCAGTCTCTCTCATTTTTGTATCATTGAAACAAGTGCTTCTCTGTTTATTAGGCCAGCAAAACTGAAGACAACCCTAACCTGATCGCTTTACATATGGTATGGTAAGGTATGATTAATTAATTTTATTTTTATTTTTCCTTTGTCTTGTACTTCCTAACCGAAAGGCAATTTTTTGACACAGACTGAGCTTTGAGTGATATGCTCGTTTCTAACGTTTCTCTGTCAATATAAAGGATGTCGGAACAAAGCAATGGATTAATTCCCAAGCAATTTTTATACAAGGCCCCGAGAAGAAATGGCTATCCTCTCTACCACTAAAACCGTAATCAATTCATGCATTTTGAAGCAGCAGTTCCCTGCTCCTACTCACATTTTGGCCCTGCAGACCTTTACTCCTGCGTTTGTAATGAGCCATCTCCAGTCAGAGATGTTATCACAGCAAAGTACATCTGCAAATATTTTATTCAGTAACTAACAAACTAATCTTTTGGAAGCTGCGTGAATCTCACTGCAGCATCAGAGAAAACTCCCTCGTTAGTTACTACGGAGATAATTGCCCCCGAGAGCTTGGCTGCTGTAAGGTGAAACAGCCACGTAACTCAAAGCAAGCTGCTCCTGACAACCACAGGCACCTGCATTTCTGAAAATACTTGGAAATACGCTGGCTGGTGAGAAGAGAACTTAAGAGCTTGCAAGAGATGGGAGTGCCTCCTCTGGGAGCAGCTCTGCTGCATCTGGCGTGTTCACCTTGGAGGGGGTCAGAGTAAAGCAAGTTGTGTGAGCTCGCATGACCGCTGCATGCGTGTAAGCATGCACGCGGGTGTGTTTTCATTTGCGGTCAGCGCAGAAGGTCAGATCAGCCCAAAACGGGGATATACGTCTCGTGACTTTTTAACAAAAAGCGGAATTAACGGGAATCTGCACTCTGATAATAATTTACCAGGGTAAGTAAGTTTAATCTAATAATAAACTCTTAATAACAATTTACCAGGGTAGTAGGATAGAAAATCCACTATAATTATACACGTAGTATAACAAAACATCACCCCAAAAATAATCATTGAAGGAGACTAAAATTAATGAGACACACATCAAGAGACTGGAACCCTCCTGTATTAGGCATGATATAAAGGTATAGAATACGACAGCATCTATTCCACAAATAGCGTAGGGAATGTGATTAAGTTTGACAGCTGAGTAGGAAAAAGATGAGACCTTGTACAAAGCAGGTGGCAGTTGGTCATATGATGCAGCACAGGAACGCCCCAGTGATGTGAAGAAAACAAAGAGCATGCAGAAGGAACCAGAGGACATTGCAGAGGAAATGCAGCTCCCATTAATATACACAATTGATAACTCAATTCCGGTGGACAAGTGTCCTATCCCAAGTGACACGAAAGCCAGGAACTTTACAGAAAAGATAAGGAAATATTAGTTGAAGCAATTGTATGTCCTGTTCACTTCTGCTAGGGTTAATGCAGGTCGGGTTCGAAGTGGAGAGACAGAGCACAGGGTGGGAATACGTACGTCATATCTTTGGTTGTGATAAACAGAGGATTAGAGCCCCTGAGGTTGCCAAACCAGTGTCCTCCAGGGTAATTACTCCACACCTACGCACTTGCCTGCAGAACACACACTGAACACCAGATCATGTTATTAGTATCCATACGTGCCAAGAAACCAACACAGACTCCTCTAGTTTCACCTTGAACTCACAAACTTGCATTTATAATTTATTTTAAAAAAATAATATTAGTAAATTGAAGAGGTTTTTATGCTGGGTTCCAACTATCTCCAGATACACTGCAGGGATAGGAACTCAAACAGCTTTGTGTTTCTGTGAGGGTCTTGGCAACACCCTCCCCACTTGTGCATGACCATTCAGGATTTTTTCCCAGGAAATTTGATGATCCCATCTTGTCATCACTCCCCCAGACTGAGCGGAGAGCACAGCGGCAAGGAAGAGTTTGGATTACAAGACCTAATAACAACTTGAAGAAATAACGTGTTCTTCCATTAATCCAGCATCCTTGTTCTTCAGGGATTGATTCACTCCAGCCAAAATTTTACTGGACAGAGACCAACCCCAGAGAGCCAAATCCTACTCTTGGTTTCACCACAATAAATCTTGAATAGCTCCACTGAGCTCAAGCTACCCAGTAAACACTTAAAACAGCACAACCCTGAACACATTCATCAGCTTGAAAACTATCGTTTCTTTTGGAAGCTGGTTTCGAATCATTCATCTAGAAATAAAACACTAAATCCACTGAACTTGAAAACCGTATCTCGAGCACACACTGTTGAATAAATCTTCAGTAGCAATAGATCTAAAACAGCCATTGATGCAGATATTAGTTATTTTTAAAGGCTGCTGTGAAAACGAATGCATTGGTAATCGGAGAGATTTAGATTTTAAAAGAGTGACCAAACTAGAGTCTTACAAAATAAAGGAGAAGAAAAAATATCATATTTGATCTACAGAAATCAAGTTGAATTTATCAAGCCCACGGTGATAACAATGATCTGGTCCACATGTCAGCAGACGATGGTTTGGATGTGCAGATAATCCTGCCATCAGAAGCAAAAACGTTTGAAGCCTGAATGTTGTTTGAATCAGTAACATATGTTCTAATAGG